GAACGCTGTGTATAACGGTTCGAGTCCAGCCCGTGTCGTATTTTTTAAATCTGAAATCGATTTTTAATTTATATAATGCCATCCATCATGCGCATGTGAAAAATATAACAGTTTTCAAAGTTGGCTAAATGGTCTATATTACTGTATAAATAAACAATTATAAAAGAAAGGACTATATTTACTGACCGTTTAGTTACGTAATTCTTTTATATAATAATTTGAATGGTCGTAAATAATTACATTTTATTTTATAGAGGTAAATGAAAAGAAAAAATGAAAGTTACTCCATCTTATGGCAGTGCAATGTGATGCAATAAACTTAAATATCTCTCGATCGATATTTAATTACCAATTAAAATACGAAAAAGGATTTTATATTTGTGCGGTAAAAAGGATAAGATACTGGACCTTTAAAATTGTGGTTAACAATTTCGAGAAAAAAAAACTTTTCAATCTATAATTTCAAGCTCTATATAGTCATGTGAAAATTTTAATGTTCACACATTCGCTGACGTCTGAACGAAATAAATCAGATCGTATTTAAATAATTTTAAGGATATTGTGTATCGAGTCTGTTAAAGTGCTTTTATATAACAACGTTGATTTATCGGAAATGGCACGTATGGGTTCATTCGATTGTAGGTGAAATCAACAGACTGAAATCGAAATGCAGTAAAACTTTTACACGGCTTTTTAGTCTGTGGACGAAGGTCCTTGATCCGGACGAAATTTCGATATGCCGGTTAATTACGTCATAAAGGTCCTTGCTAATATAGCTTTTTAATGTTCAGTTCAGCACAAACGATACTTATGTTTTGTAACAATACTAGGTATAATACTTACCTGTAAAGTACTTTTATATTAATAATCATATTACATTATCTACTATTTATTGCTATTAATATTTTTAATATTATATCTATAGACTTACGGCTGTGTTATAAGAAATATATCCATAGAATTAAATAGATTCGAGAATCATTTATTTCTTTGTTTATTAAAAGTAGGCAGTATTATACTCTACTTCTAGTAAAATGAATATTATATACTTTACTCTCTATAAAATTATTTAGATTCGTAAATAAAATATGTTTGTCTGTCCGTTCGTCGTGATTCTAGAGTATTCGAAAGAGCAAAATAACCGAGAAGAACACACATTTAATATCCAGGATTCCAGACTAAGCCCAACATTTACAGAAAAACTATAAATTGATATATGATGTAATCACTAACGAGCCCCGTAATGTAACACAATACATACATAATACAGTGAATACATATTTTTTTATATATTTTTTTCACAATATAGTATTCACGTGTGACAGGATATGTACCGTTTAACTGATATTTTACTTTCAAGCAATTAGAGTTTAACAGACTATTAGCTAAGATTATATTTAACGATTTAATGACTCGTAATAGCAAATAAAAATATTTTGTCACGTTAATGGCACAGACACGTGTGCGTTTTTTTTACAGTGAGTAGCATGTATCCTTACTTAGTTAACCACTGAGCCACGGAGGTGATACCTAGATTATACTTATTTTTATCTGTGTGTCTTAAAACTGGTGTTGTCATGTGTATTCATTTTATTTTATTGACGATAAAACACGCGCTTTAAGAATGGAACTCAACAGTATCTAAATTACTTTTACATATTAAACAAATATAACCAAACAACCAACTAGGTCATTAAATTTACAAAAATGTATTAGTTTGTAAGATATGTTCAAAAAAGCCAGACTGAGTTTCTTCTTCTCGGTTATTTTGCTCTTTTGAATACTCTGTAGAATCACGACGAACGGACAGACAAACATATTTTTTTGACGAATCTAAATATATATTTTTTAATATTATAAAGAGTAAAATATATTTTATTTTATTTTACAAGAAATAGAGTGTAAAATTGCCTATTTTCAAAAAACAAATAATGAGTGATTCTCAAATCTATTTAATTCTATGGATATTTATTTTTTAACACAGTCTATAATAGATATAATATTACGAAATATTAATAGTAGTACATAGTAGATAATCTAATATGCTTATTTATATAAAAGTACTTTACAGATAAGTAGTGTACCTAGTATTGTTACAAAACATAAGTATAGTATGTGCTGAACTGAACATTAAAAAGCTATATTAGCAAGGACCTTTATGACGTAATTAACCGGCATACCGTACAAGCAAATATATTATATAAAGAATCCAAGTAATGTTTGCTGAAATTACCCAACTTTCACTTACCCAAACAATTTCTTAGCAAATATTACGAACACGGTAACACTGAACACACAGACGTTTAATATTCGCGACGTTGTGCGGTGAACTGGTTTCACGGATTGTACTTTGGGGATACCAGCTTTTGAGAAACAATGCAGCGCAGATAAAATTTAATTTACCTTTGTTTCTTAATTTGTTTCTTTGTTATAAATGTTATTAATGATAATAGCTATGAGATTTTTCTTATAATTACGAGTCATTCGGTGCTATATTTTAAGAAACGGGTTTTATAGTAACGTTTTGTAAATATATCAAAATTTTGAGTCAAAGTTAATATAAATTTAAAAAAAATTATCACGTATTAAACACTTAAACTATTTTATTTCAATGTGTACTACTCACGCAAAGTACAGACAATACTATCTACTAACGTCGATAAGATATCGTTGTATGTTATTTACGTATAACAATGAACTCTTTTTCTATAGTTTACGCGAGTAGTACACATTTAAATAAAACACTTTAACTGTCTCCCCGTGACCACGGCTGCTGCAAAGCATCCGGAACGTCGGGCCAAAGTTAAAAATAATTTTCAAATAAGTTTAACTAATATATCGCGTTTTAAACCGTTAAGTTTTTTATTTAAATGAACTTCTGTTTCAGACTTATGTTTCTCTGATATTCAAATCTGGTATCTCGTATACGTTCAATAAAATTGTGTTTTCTGGCGTCTTGATTGAAAACTGAAACCCTAAATAAAAAGATTAATCTATTTGGGACTCCGATTTAATTTGTCTCTATTTATTTTGTTCAGTAATTTGTTAGACATATTGATAATAATATTAGCAGTAGTCAGGTCTTTTCGTATTTGATTCTGATTTAACTACTTCTCGAAGACCACGACGGCTATGACAAATATATGTATTGCTGTTTAAAATAAATTAACAGATATATTCCACGTTTTAAACGGATAAATGGATTAACTTAGCTTATCGCAATTTTATACTCAATTGGGGAGAATTTATTAGCTGGTCACCCACACCCACGTGGAATCTAGACGCGGACGTTCAAGCACCGGTTGAACTCCTTCCGTTTGTAGTTAATTATCATATAAATTTTATTTACAATACTTTGCTCTTCATTTCGAAGAAAAATGTTCCTAAAATAAAAATTACTTATTGTTTAACTTACAACTTTGATAGCCATTATTCAGTCATAAATATTCGACTTAACTGCATTTTGCAAGTATCCGACAAAATATACTTACTACAGTACCTTCTATTTAGTGGAAATGGGGCAGGCACACTTGTGTGTCGCATAACCTGTTCGAGTTTTTATTAATAAATTATAAGGATTGTCATTTTCGAGTTGGTATAAATAAATGAATGAATTTGATTGCATAACTTTATTTCCAAATTCTCTAAACTACATTACAAATACTTAAATTCATTATTTCTCTACTTTACAATACTTGATGTGCGCAGTAAATGTATAATTTAAAAACTAAAATTAAAATAATATATAGTAAAGCACCTTAAGACACTGGAATGTTCTTGAATTCGCAAAATAATACGTAAGTTTTTAGGACACTTTCTACTAAATTACCTTTAACATATGGCAAGACTGAAGTTTACATTTTAGTGAGTCTCTTATGATCTAAAGATGGTCATGTGATATAAATAAACAGTACCTTAAAAATTATTTTATTTTTAGCCGCCTAGACCACGAATCTACAAAAAGATTAACACTATAATTATGACATTTGAAAGTGATGTTTAATCTTGTGTACCTACTTGTGATGTAACTACGTCCTTAAACTAAGTATTATTTATTTAATATAATTTATAAGATTCTTAATATTATAAAAATACTTTATTCGGATAATATTTCATGTATAATTATTATTAACTACACAGGATTTGTTTGACACTTATTGTGTAGTTGTTTTCTGTATGACAGAGGGTAGATAAGCAAGGGGTGCGCTTGATTGGGAAGGTAAAATGGTCAAGCCCGTTTTTTTTAAATGTTGTGAGAAATGTTATCAATACATGTTGATAATACAAGGATTCTCTGAGATTACGCCATACAATTTTGAGCTCGCAAAACAGTATCATTAAAATAACCTAAAAATAGTGAGCATTATGTTATAAAAAGGTACATTTAAACATGTACTAATCAATGTAGGAAAAATACAATTAGCAAAATAAAATGCAATTATTTATTAAGTACACACTAAAGGAATGTCAAAAAATAATTAATAAACTATAATAAAAAAAAATTACAGCAATAATTCATCTTAAATAAACGACTATAGGTACAAACATTTACAAACAGCTACCATTAAAGCGAATTCCTATGGCAATTTTTAAATTCTGTGTCCTCTTAAACCAATTAGGCACTAAAATTCGAAAGCACTAAAAAATAACTAAAACTAAATGGCATTAACCAAACTACAATTCAAAAAACAGGTACAAAAAATATACACCAGCTTATGGTATTTTGTTTTTTTTTAAATAAATTAAACAAAACAAATATTTAAGTTATAATTTCGGAAATAGTGCTCTCCTTCTTACTACTACAAAAAATAACCTAACATAACATAGCGATGTTTTAAAACATTACCTTATTTCGTGAATTCCGCGTTTTTATTATTTTATTAATTATTACAAGTAGTTTAATATTTTTTATAAAGATATAATTATGTCTAGGACGGACACAGTTGTATAATTGCACTTTGGGAATGTTTTTTGTCTATTTTCTACCATTCAAAATAATTTTAGTTATGGCAATCTCTGTAAATGTGAATGTTGAATTCGACGAATTGGATTTTGTTTTCTGCGTTCAAATAGCACAATTCCTGAAAGAAAACATATTAAGGTAGAATATGTTTATAATAATATTTTTAATGCGTAAATAGTTTGAAATTGTTAACAAACAAACAGTTACGGCACTATTGAGTGAAATCTTTCTCGTGAGGCATGGGGCCAACACATTTCTGTGTCCGTTGCACTGATAGGGTTTTATTTAGAGATTGTACTTCTGTGCCTTGCCCAACCGTAATAATGTTTTGTTTCTTGGGATTCGAACTCAGGACTTCTCGCGCTAACGCAATGCTAAGCCATACGTTTAACCATTTACCTCCAGCAACGTTAAAGCCTCACTAATAAATATATTAAACATTTTTTTTCTGTAAAAAAGTACCACTATACAAAAACTACTATAACTATGTAAAAATCTACCATTTTCTACCAACCTTCATAGGCAAATAGCTTCCTCGTATCTTCAACGTTCTATCCAAGTTGCACTCGAGCGTTAGTTTTGAAGTCCAAGCGTCTGTACTGGGCAACGGCTTAGCAATATCCCGGTTCAATTGGCAATTCTTACTTGAATCATATTTGCATTGGAGGTCGCAAAGACGAAGTTCGTGGAGTTTCGGAGATCTACGAAAAAGAGTTAGGAATAAAAAAAAATGTTTAAGATTAATAAACTACGACACGAGCAGGTTATATATTATAGCGTTGCATTAAATAATTGAGCTACCGTGTCCTAGCCGTGTCTAGACGTCATAGCCGTATTTTTAATGTGTTGTATGAATTTACATTACGTATAGTTTTTACATTAAAAGCACGGAACGCTGTGAATGCCGCTTCAAGTTCTGCCTGTGTCGTAATTTTTCAATTTATTATCAATTTTTAATTATATGGTGCCAATTAATTTCATAGACATACAACACGTTGCCGCCTCTGTAGCCCAATGGTTAGACGTATTGCCTAGCATTGCGTTAAGCGCGAGAGGTATTGGGTTCGAATCCCAGGAAAACAAAAAATTGGTTCGGTCTGCCTGTTAAAGAACGGATCAGTGAAACGAACACAAAAATGTGTTTGTCCCATGCCCCGCGAGGAGGAAACGGAATTTCAATCGGTCAGAAAGGACATGTACTATTCATTCGCCCTAGTTCCATCTACTTATGGATTAACAATACATTATATTGTTTGAAGTTTTGTACTAAAAATAATTACAAAAGTGTTTTTTACGTACAACAGGGGTAGTTAAAAATAATACATTACCTAAACACAATATCAACGTGTTTATGATGAAGGCAGTGAGACAGCGGTATTGAGTAAGTGTAGTTATGCGCTGCGCGGGCGCATACTACCTCGTTGAAAACGGATATGTTGGAGATTGACTTGCTGCTAATACCGACGGATATTGTGTCGCATTCTGTAAAATTTATATAAAATAATAGATGTATTTAAATTAGAAACTATCTTGTAGACTTTAATATGTACTTATAACTATATAGCCTATTTACTGAAACGATTAAATAAAAAACTTTAACGGTTATATATTAACGCGATATGTATTAGTTAAACTTAATATATGTATATCGCGTTTTTAACCGCTAAAGCCATGTATTTAAATGTGTAATACTTGCGTAAACTTGTATGAAAAACAAATTAAATATTATTGAAATTTAAAAATATCAATAATAATGAAAACTTTATTATTTTTGACATGTTCTTGCATATGAAGGCACTATATAATTTAAAAATCGAAAATAATTTGAAAAAAATTTCGACTCGGGCAGGACTTGAACCGGCATCGTCAGCGTTGCGAGAGCAACAGCACGGAACGCTGACGATGGCGGTTCAAGTCCTTACCGAGTCGAAATTATTTATTTTCGATGTTCAAATTCAATAATTACCTTTTCCGGTTTCATCCGATTGGCTTAGAATCATCTCTTCTGAACTACTCTTCAGAATCTCTTCTCCCTCCTCGCCAACCTCCACTTCTCTTTTCATTCTTACTTCGCTAATATTCTTCGCGTCTAAGAAGTTTGATTCAGCTATGATTTCTTCTTTTAATTGCTTCTTTATGTCTTTTTCTTTGCTCTCTGAAGTGTTTTTGTCAGCTGAAAGATTCATTTTTAATTTTATATATTTTTTGTACGATAGAGGAGAACAGACATGCAAAGGGTGAAATAACCTCTAAGAAAGATGACGAATGACAAACGATGAAGTCGACCTATAGACTTATTTTAGTTATCTTGACAATTCTCCTAAAGCTACGAAGACAATATGGCAATACTATAAACTAAATTTAATAAATATGTGTCATTTGCGCTTACAATGCTTTGTCAGATAAACTTTAGAGATAGCCTTAATCGCCCACGTGACATGGGCCATGGGGCGGACACATTTCTGTGTTCGTTTCATGTTTGTAAATGGGTAGTTAATTTCTACTACACCTTTGATGTTTTTGAAACTAAGATATAAAATGTAAGTACTTTACAGTTAACGATGACTAGCTGTGCCCGCGAATTCGTTCGCGTGGAATAGTGACTTGGGTGAATTTTTAATTATTTAGGCTGTTTATTAATTTATGTAAGGGCGTATTTAAGGCAGCCAATCTATGTTGTAAGTGCTACTTTGCCACAACATTCACACCTCACATCACTCCTGCTCTAACTCCCACTGTCATTCCTACACTCACTCCCACTCCCACTCCTATTTCCAAAAAGCCAAAGAAGAGAGTTTCATTGTTCTAGTTTCAAAAACCACGAATTTCCATACAAACTGCCAAAAAAGGGTTGATAGGGGATGAACCTATAGACCCTTTCTTGGCATTAAAAAGTATGTCCTTTCTCAGGCTGTAAAATACCTGTGTACCAAATTTCATTTAAATCAGTTCAGTTTCGGAGTTAAAGCCGGACAGACAGACAGTCACTTTTGCCTTTAGAATTAAGTATGTTAGTATAGAGTGTCACTAGACGGACTAGTGTTATAACCAATGTGTTTTAATAAATCAAGAAAGAATTCCTGCTCGTAAACTGCTAGGCCGATTTTAATAAAATTTTGCATTCTCAGGATGTGCTAGGCCACAATCTATTAAATGTGATAGATAAATCTGTCGTTACCTACTTACCAATAACTGGTGTTATGATTTTTTCTTTAATGATTGGTTCCAATGGTTTAGAGTAAGTCTCGTTTAGTACTTTGTCAGGTTTACCGCGCTCCAGAGGGCCTTGATTTTCGTAGGTTTGTGGCGCGTCGAGTCCGCATGAAGACTATAAATAAAAAAAAGTATTGAAAACAGTGTCTAGACAGAAGATACACAAACGTATAGGAGAGTGCGAGATAGCTACCGTTCTGAAACAACAGACGGCTCAAAGTATTTATTGTAATTGAATTATGGAGATTCGTCATCGAATTAAATTGTTTAACTTTAAAATTTCTTACCAAAAGGCTGATTATCCAATGGGAAAATTTTCCAATATCCTTTAAGCAGCGTGTAAATAAAATTTATTTAACGAGAAGCCTGATGATATGATATGACGTATGATAGATATTTAAACAAAACGGTATAAAACGCGATATATATTAGTTACACTTATTTGGAAATTATTTTATATACGGCTCGACGTTTCGGATGCTTTGCAGCAACCTTGGTCACAGGGAGACTGTTAAAATAATTTCCTAAAAAGTTTAACTAATATAATATATTTTTCTGTATGCATTTGTAACGATTACTAAATTTGGTAAAAAAAAATGGCGTTGTTGTTACTTGTTAGTTATAAAAATCAAATACCTGACATTCAGCATCCAGCTCATTATCCGTGTTAATAGTAAATGCACAACCGCCTCCGATGACGTCTGCAATTCGAGTGATGGATACGGGGCCTTCCCAACGCGGAGTGGTGGATGCTTGCTCCATATCTAAAAGTCGAATGTTAATTGTAAATAGCTGAACTAGATGTTTTCTTTATTGTCATAATAAAAAAGCCATATCGGAAATATTATAGATAAAAGTTAAATTTTAATAAGACTGTTATTTTTTATAATTCAACATGTCTAAAGCCATAACAGATGGACAGCGCGTCTTGTTTAGGTGTTATATGGCTGGGATGTTACAGTGCTCTCCAAACTTTTTGACCGGGCTGAAAATAGCGCGGATGGTTGCGCAGAACGAAGCAGGTATCATTCGCGGACAAAGCGCACGCGCGTGTGCGGTGGACTCGACTTTTTGCTTAAAATTGACAGTACCATGAGCAAAATGGCGGTCGCGCTAACTCCAGTCCGGCCAGAAAGTTTGAAGAGAATGTAATTTAAACCTTAACATTAACACATTAAGGTTCAATGTATATACTTTCCTGTGGAAGAAATCGTTAAAGATGAAATTAGCTATGTAATAAATACTTACGTAACACATTTTTGACATAATTTCGCGAAGCGTGAATTGTGGTTGGCGTAGGAATGGGTGGGTCCATCGATGTAAACTCCTGGTTCTTATGGGGTCCTTTTTCTGTTATACACAATTAAAAATGAATAAATAAAGATAATTCACCAATAATAACCGGGATTTTATTGCACAACAGAGGGAATTTTAATAAGGAACGAAACCTTAACCGTTTAAATAAAACACTTTAACGGTTTAAAACGCGATATATTAGTTAAACTTATTTGGAAATGACTTTTACGATGATTTTTTCACGCGGTCTCCCCGTGACCACGGCTGCTGCAAAGCATCCGAAACGTCGGGCCGATATTAAAAATCATTTCCAAATAAGTTTAACTAATATATCGCGTTTTAAACCGTTAAAGTGTTTTATTTAAACGTTTACTACTCACGTAAACTATAGACAGTATTTAATTAAACTTTAACCGTCTAAAAGTTGTCTGGCTTAATAAATAATTCGACACAAAAAACTCCCCAAAACGTTTTTTGCAATTCATTACAATAATCAGCTAAACAATAATTTTGCCAAATGATACATTGTCAACAAACTTTGATATTGCAAGTGATGATCCGTCAAACAATTTTCGGCGAAAAGTCAGGGATCCTAATAACGATACATAACTGTTTTAATCATAAAATATTACCTTTCGCAGTTTTTTTCGTCGCTGCATGTTGAGGTTTTGAATTCTGTAAATATTATTAAAATATTAACAAGATTAACCCTAAAGCAAACGATGAAATAAATATATAATATGTTCTATATTGATGTACATAAAATACGTACGTGTATTTGATTCTGATCAGGCGGTGTTGCCCGATGTATAGGCCCGCTATTCACATTAAATTTGCCATAGTGCGGATAGTTTGAAAACTTTTCGTGCATACGTATTTCTTTCATTGACAACAATTCTTGATGTTCTCGGAAGTATAGGGCAGACATTACAACGAGGCTGGAAATAAGTGTTTTGTTGAGGTTTGAGGTTATTATAATAGATATTGTAATTAGTTTACTTAAGGAAAGGAAGGTTAAATAATTTTCAAAGTAGCATAATATTATACATATATAAAAGATCAGAAATAATGATAAATTAAACTTACCATACAGCCATGATAAAGACTAATATCGTTATTACAATTTGTAATAATTTATTGGAAATTAACTCATTCCCGTCATAACCATATTTCTTTCTGCAGCACATCATTTTCCCATAACCGTAGCCATCTTCATCCCTCAACCAGAGACAAGAATCTTTTTTCTTCGACGACGTACTAAAGTTTTCATCTGGTAACTTTTCTGGTGTTTCTAGCGTACTAACGTAGGTGGGGTAATTGCTTTCTGGGTTTTCGGACTTATCCGATTTTGAGTGGTAACGCACACACGTTTTGTTGTAATTATAGTATTTCCCATATTTCGAGTAAACGTGACAGTTTTTGCACTGTTTCCGCGTGTATTTCGGCGAGTTGTGACTGAGTTTATGGCAACACTCGTGCCGACGGATGGAGCGAGCAATTTCGCGGATTTGGTCTATGGAAATGTTGCCATCGCTGTAGAACGATTTCGACGACGCGGAGATGCCTGAGAAACGGGAGTCTGAAAATAAATTTGCTTAAGTCAAAAATCATTGATTCAGGTAGGACATACTTATGAACGTCAAACCCGTTAAAAACAGACTCTATATTTACATTTATTACCAGTTCTTGAAGCAAGGGCTTAGAACGAAAAAAAAAGAAGTGGCAAAAAATTCCGGTCGAATTATTTACAGCAGTATTATAGTTTTTATATGCCCATCTTTTGAAATAATCTCACCATTACTGACGCTAGATCTAGAGCTATCCCTTCGTTGTAGTACACTGATCTTGCAGAGTTTCTTGTTGATCTTCTCAAGCTGGTCTATTCGTGACTCCAGGTGCCCTGTCACTTTACATAATTCCTTGACAGCACCAAGGTTTTCCATGAAGATGCGATCCTGTAATTGTTAGAAATGGAATTATTATTTTTAATTCCAGAATTTTGGAACAACTTTACATTCGAAATTCAAAATATTCATTATTCTCACTGACTTCTTACGAATACATGATATAAGACATAAACAATAGAAGAATTCGAATTCTAGTTCTTAAAATTAAAGTGAACTTTAGGTAGTGATTAAGTAGGAAGTTAACAAAAAAACAAATAACAGAATATTATTCTTACCTTGTTAACTACTAGGAATTTAGGTATTGTATCACCATTTGGTAACGTGACATCACCAGCTTCTTTAACGGCATCTGGCAACACCTTTCTAACCTCCTGGGCTAGTACACCAGTGTCCCTGGACGTAGCTCGTGGGTCCCAGCCCACCAGACCGGAATGCTCCGCAAACGATGGGTCATAGTTGAATCTAAGAGGAAGAAGAAGACATGCGTAAATATTTGTTGGGAAATGAGTGTTAGAAATTTTTGTGTTCTCATATGTTAATGCATATGAGGTATTATATAATTATAAATCTAGAATCTTAGAATGGAGAAAGTATCGACACTGGCGGGATTTAAAACAGCATCCACAGTGAATTCTCTAATCAATTGAGCTGCAGTGTCTAACACGTCATCATCGAATTTATTATAGTCATTGATACGCACCTATTTGTATAAATAAGTGCAATAATATAAAGACTTTTTCTCTGCCAAAAGAATTGACGGTTATCATTTTAAATACTGTCTATAGTTTACGCGAGTAGTACACATTTAAATAAAACACTTTAACGGTTTAAAACGCGATATATTACTTAAACTTAATTGAAAATGATTTTTAACTTCGGCCCGACGTTTTGGATGCTTTGCAGCAAAAACATTAAAAATCATTTTAAATTAAGTTTAACTCATATATCGCATTTTAAACCGTTAAAGTGTTTTATTTAAAGGTTATCATTTTTATATGACGTACATACTTAATATTAGGGATGGAGACTGTGTAATTTTTAAGAGCCACCCTTATTTAAAGAAGTATGGAAAAGTATAAAGCAAAATTGCTAGATCTAAAATAGTCTAATTCCCCTTAAATTAAAATTGTTTAAGTAACTTAAGCTTGAATAAATAACTCACTTAACAACACGGATGCTCTGAACATTCTTCAGTTGCTGTGCCGTGTCCAATTCTTCGATATCATGCTTTGCTCTTGCATCCGATGGATGGACTATGTGACCCATGACTTTGAGGTTACCTGTTCAAAAAACTTATATAAAACCCGTCTAACTAACTAAATAGTTATATAAGGAAAGTTGTGTGACACAACATATCTATAAATCAGATTACTTCGTTAACACATGTATTCATATTAACACGAGATGTGACAGCAACTTAGTCCGCGTAGAATTTTGGGCTTCAAATTTGTATTTGAAAACCTCCTGTACAACTCTATAAATTGAAGACCTTAGCCGTCGTCAGCGTCCCGTTGTTCTTGCATATTACGAGTTAACTTAAAAGATAGTCGTATTCTTTCGCGGACAATTTTTTAGATTATTTGCAGAGGAATGATTCTTTCAGACATATTTTTGGGTACTTTGAACCGTTATCGCAATGGACAAAATTGAATAATTTCCCCGTTTCCCACTATTTCTTTGTTCCTATATGTCGCAACGTGATTTTTAATAGCCTTCTTTCTTAAAATTAGAATTTTTTAATTACAACCAGTATCACCTGCGTTCAGTGCACGCAAGCAAACAAACTCTTCAGCTTTATATATTAGTATAGATTTTACCATTAATAACGCAGCTTTCGTCAGGCCTATCTGTGTTTATCCCAACTCTTCCATTGTAGTGCACGCTGTTTTCTGAGACACCGCGTTGCCACCAGTTCTCTGAACAGTCCGACTCAAACTGTCCAGGGTTTGACGCCTGGAATACAATGTTCGTGTTATACAATAGACACACTGTTAATATTCATAAACAAACAACCGTTGCGTCATACAATATACAATGCAACTATGCCATATTAACGATACACAAGTACATCTTTTCCGTATGCCCAGAACCAATATAGGACCACAGCGCAGGTTGCTGGGATTTTACAGTACAGGACCAAATACTGTCTATAGTTTACGCGAGTAGTACACGTTTAAATAAAACACTTTAACGGTTTAAAACGCGATATATTAGTTAGACTTATTTGAAAATGATTTTTAACTTCGGCCCGACGTATATATCGTGTTTTAAACCGTTAAAGTGTTTTATTTAAAACACTCACTCACATTGCAAGCCTTGTAAGTTGCAGTATCGTATATTAAATACGTTTTTTACACGCAAAACGAATTTTCAATCAAGTATCCCCAATTTTAAAAATACCGCTTACCCGGACTATAATTCTGTCGCTAGCATGTGCTGCTACTATATACTCGTTGGTGGTGGTATGCGCTTTCAGAGCCACCACGAGCTGAAAGTGCCTCTGGTCAGGGTTGGGGCGACCCTTCTTCCTCATGTTGTTGTTCGTGGTTTCCGCGAAATGAAGGCGGCCCACGGTTATCTTGGAGCCTTCGCGACGTAGTTCCACACTGGACAGAAAGACAGGTAATTGAAGTTTTATTTTTGGAAAGACTAAACCATTATCACGGTTGATTCGAACCCCGTCGGTGTCATGTTTTTTACCTTTCCTCGAAGAAATAATTTGATAAATTAACCATACATTTCGAATTTTTTCAGTCGTGGTCACGGATCAGATATATTTTTTAAGTTTTAATCCGTCAAAGTTTTTTTATATAATTAAGGTATGGCAAACAATTTCATATAACTTTAAAAGTTTCTTTATTATTGAGTTAAGTGTTTGATTTTTAAAGACGTTTGCAACCTCAATATCTAGTCAATATTAAGATAAAATCAATATATTATGATATAGTAAAAATAACGAATGAATAGGCCTTACGGTACAGGATGGAATGGCTTCTTCGTTCTATCAGATTGGCTTTGTTCTATTCTCACTTCTTGACTTGGATCTTCAGCCTGGAAATAATATACATTACCTTCTTTCAGTTATTTCTGACACACTAATATAACTCCGAGCCGAACTCGTAAGACTAAGAAAATAATATAATGATTAAAATTATCCTTGGCAATACACGATAGCGAGTCTAGGCTGGTAACTTGTGGATTTGTTACATAACTAAGGACACGCCCGGCTTCACTCGGGTGCAATGCTAATACTAAATACACTACAGAATAACTGTGAACGTTGTATATAAAAACCGTTCACTTGAATTACTCAATCTGTTTGAAAAATCGCATCAATATCTGTTGCGTGGTTTTAAAGGTTTAAGCGCACATATATAGCAACAGAAAAAGCGACTTTGTTTTACTATGTAGTGATTGAATAGTGAATAGGATAGCAAATGTTGCAGACACACTAAATATTATATAAAAACCAAAGCATTTGTCATTGTCTATGTGTACAAAGAGATAATTATTTTTACAAAAAAATCAGATGTTTTTCCAAGTCCTATATTAGATATCTCCTTCTTATACAGTAGAGCTAATCTCATTACCTTTACTCCATAAAAATGTAAGCAGAAGCTGCTAATCTTCTTATATCCCTCCGCAGTCTTAATATAATGAGGCTCTCCCGATACCTGCATCTGACAGGTGACCTGGAAGTGGTTCTTCTTCTGGCAGACGAAGGCTTCGTCGATCTGAGAGTAGTTGAAACCTTTGTCAGCTCCGACTATGTACGATGGCGGTAGGCTGTGACAAAAAATCTTGTTTTTGTATGGTTCTATGTATAAAATAAATAAAACCTTTAATGGAGTAACGTTGAGAGCTATATTATTGTTTTGTAAGGGTTAAAACCGGTTTAAGTGTACTTTATTTAACGTGTACTTTGCGTAAAGTAAAGATATCTCCTATTTTTATGATATAGGAGGACAAACAAGTGTGAGTTTAAAAATCGAAAATAAATTGAAAAAAAAATCGACTCGGGCAGGACTTGAAACGGCATCGTCAGCGTTCCGTGCTGTTGCTCTACCAATTGAGCTACGGAGTCCGGTTATTAAATAGTAAAGTTTTCAAGTGTGAGTTTAATTAATGGAAAGTGAAATATCCAGTCATATAACATCTAAACAAGAGGCGATCTTTACTTGGCTTTGATACTTGAAGTCCAGAGAAAGCCGAATCGTGATTAAACTCCACGGCTTTTTTAGCCGTGGACGTCAGAATGGAATTTTCGATATTCCTACTACATTCATATTACTGCCAGGCGGTCTTGTCATTAAAGAAATCGTTCAGACAATAATGCGCCTTGTGAGACAATCAAAGTTTTATAACTTTCTTAAATTTATTTATTGATAAATTTGAAAGTCCTGTCCGAGTCCAATTTTTTTCAATATATAATCGGTTTTTAATTTATAAACTTTAAGTAAGTTAAAAAAATATTCTACGATCCTCTCCAGTGTTTAAAATAACTAAATCAATTGTCATAATCGAATTTGACGACTTCGCATAGATAACAGACATATAATTTTTTTTTATACATACATAGGCTTCAAGTTACTATCAAACAGCGCGTGCCAGACTGTCTGTTGGAAGGGGGCGAAACGTATACTCTGCTGAGGAGCATCGTCACCCGCTTCAGACCCATCTACAGACGGAGGTGGCCGGACGATGCTCTCTGGTGATAAGGCCGCTGGGAAAAATGAAATACATCCCTTTGAGTATTTATTTTAAAGGACTGCCTTTAAATTCATCAGTCTCACGTGTACATCTATATACCAATATATAAAGATGAAGATTTTGTTTGTTTAAACGCACTAATCTCAGGAATTACGGGTTCGAAAATATGTTTGTGTTAGTTAGAGCATTTTTCGAGGCTAGGTTATTTAGGCTAAAACATCGCGCTGTGACTAGTATACAGCGGGAATAAAGGAATGAGAAAAATATTCAGCATTACGCGGCTGAAGTCGTGGGTAACAGTTTAAGTTTATAAAGAAGGGGTTTGCAAATACGAATGTGGATGCCCAAAATAAATATTCTTAGCGGACGAGGTCGCTGAAACAGCTAGTATATGATAAGATCTTAAGAAACGTTAAAAAATACATATTAAAAACAATTCTTAGTTTTCTTAAAAGCGAGATACTATCTATGCTATATCATAAATGAATAGTTTGTTGAAGTAAATAAACTGTGGAAGATGTTGAGAAACGGGGGATATAATTCATCTTTGAGGAGTTCTGTTGCGAACTTACAACACAGATTGGCTGCCTTGAATGCGTCTTTGCATTTTAAAACCTTTTGCTGTATAAAATATAAGGAGTTCAAAAAGGCATGAAAAGTTGTGTAGATGTATCGTAATTAATTTTTAAACAACTTGCTAATATTATAAATTCCAAAGTAACTATAAAACTCAAATAAGCATAACAATATACTATAGCATGGATATATACTTATTATAAATACCTTAAAAAGCTCTTTGCAGTGGAACACTGTATTTACACATGTGTCTTATTCAATTAATAAATAAATTTAAATAAATAAACAGCCTAAATAATTGAAAAATTCTACCCAAAGTTACTATTCCAGGTGGACGAAGTCGCGGGCACAGCTAGTATAATATATATGTACCTGGTTCACATTTGACGTCCTGTGATAACTTTCGCTTCTTACTGCCTGGCTCCTGTAGATTTGTGTAAACTGGTGTGACGTCATGACCCAATGAGACCAGCTGTGACGTCATCAAGCCCTGCTCCATTTCCGGCATGTCTACCCGCATTTGGTTGTACCTTTAGACGAAAGTCAGAATGTTTACTTTTGCTGTCGCATTTAAGTAGTTAGGTAATAAGAAGAAATGGCTATCCATTTTATTTCCAAGTATTTTTTTTATTGATTTTGAGAAAAACACTTTTAAATGAGACTGAAATATATTCTCCTTGTGACCACAACTGCATGCAAAGCAACCGTAACGTCGGGTGGTAGTTTAGATAAATTGTAAATAAGTTAACGACTGTATTTCGCGTTTTAAACCGTTAAAAGTGATTTATTTTAACGTGTAGGGTGTAACGAATATGTAGATAGCAATTCTTACTAAGTGTAACATTTTATTAGTTTACCCGATATTCAAACCCTCTATTCTCTCGCACTTAAAGTATTGCTCATGGAATAAACTAATAGTAAACTCACAGAAGCGAATACAAGAATATTACTCTCAGATTCTAAGGTTACCTGTTTTGATACACTGGCTCTGATAGCCCCATGTCATGTCTGACCCCCCTTAACCCCAGTTCGCCGGGGTCCTGCATCACCACGACGTCATTCCTCAGAACCTCGTGGTCTATATTATCTTTCATTTCATCGTAAATGTATTCGCCGTTTTGGAGAACCTGGGAGTCAAAAATTTTAATAGAGTTATGTATATGTCCAATACTGGTTGCAGGTCTCCTCTTAAAAGCTTAGGCTATTCCACTGTAGTTTGGTGGTGGGGGTGGTGGGTTTTAACGATTGCCACCACTATCATTTTTTTGTGATGGGATTCACTTCATGGAAGTTAAAATATCCCAGCCATGTAAAATTTTGACAAGATGTGCTGTCTACTGGCTTTGGATATTCGGAAGTGATGATAGCCAATGGTTTAGCGTGCTATCCAAGGGACCTCCTTCATACAGTCTTTGGGTACAAAAGACGAGCTGAGATTTGAACCTGGAACCTCTTGAACACATAACCGACGAGCAGAAAGACGATTTTTTACAAACCTCATGAATATTGAGATGCTCCGGTAACAGCATATAATCCGGGGTCAATATAGTCTGTGACACAGCTATCGTGTGTGACACTTGTGTGTCTGGACTATATGGGTTTTCTGACCCTGAATCGGGCGGGCTTTCCGGTAACTGGTGACCTCTGTGGACGAAAAAATTGTTTAGTGATAAAAGACAGACAAGCATAATGTTCATTGATGTTAGGTGAAATAACCCAGCCTATAGCATAAACAAGATGCGTTGTTGTCCTATTTTGGCTCTGGATATTTGGAAATCCACATACAAGTGATAAAACTTGACGGCTTTTTCATCTGTGGATGGTGGCTCCACTCAGGAAAAATGTAAAAAGATTAGAAAAATGTTATACCCGGCGATCGAACCCACGACCCGTTGATTATTAGCCTATTATTTTTGCTACCATTACACCAACGATTACTACTACTATTACTATTACTATTGCTAGAATCAGTAATGAAAATGACTTTGAAGGGATTTTGACTCTTCTGTGCATCTTACCCGATGCGTCGGGCATCTAAAGGTTGTGGCGCGTAGCAGTTCTCGCTGACAGGTGCCATGTAGGCCTCCAACTCGTCTATCAGCCCGGGACCTGGAGCAAGTGTTTAAAAGGTGAGTTTGTGACGTCACTTGCAATTTAGTAAAACAAAACATTTTCAACAAATAAGGTTCACTAATGTTGGACCGCCTCTGGTTATTGGTTAAGCGTGTTCTCTAGCAGTTCCATCAGCCCCAGAGTCCTGGGTTCGAATCCCGGAAGCAATAGAATGTTTCGTTCGAGCAGGGCACAGAAGTTTTGATTAATTACTCGGCTGTATATAAAAGCGATCAGTGAAACGGACAGAAATGTGGGAGAAATGGGGAGAAACGGGATTTTACTATATTTATGTTTAAAGGTTGCTTTTACGCGAACACATGAAATAAACTTGAAGTAAGTTAATATAAATTTTAATAATTTAATATTCTTGAACTAAGCAATATGGATAGTTCTACTTAAATCTTAGACAAGGTTGTTTTAACTCGATGATAAATTTAATGTGAAAGCTTACTGACTTAGTTCATATAACATGTTTCAAGTAAGCACCGTTAAGTTGAAAATAATATTAGACTTGAATGTATTTCTTTATCTTCATACGTGTTATTTAGAAGATATTCGTTAAATATCCTTTTGAGATGAACTGAATAAAACTTGTCGCATTCCGGACTATCTGACGCATAATTACATTTAACAGAATACATTCCTTTTTTTCACTCAGAAATGTTCATGCAACTTTAAGTGGTAAAAAGAGAATATTTATCTATTTTTATATTATTATCTTTGGTATAAAATCGTCTTAGTGAATTGACTTCCCCGAATTTTTTTATTATTTTGTTAATAGTACTTTCATGTTAGTTTATATTAGTGCCCCGCCCCACTTTTAAAAAGGAAACACACATACACGCGAAATCTACATTCTCCGCAAAGTGTTGATTATATACTTCTAAAATTCCACTTTCGATTACCAATAGCGTGTACACTATTATACATTAATCCTAACTAATTATACGACACAATACAGTATATGATGTTGGTGTAAAACGCATACCAATTATATTGAAATAAAACGATATAAATCGCGTTTTAAACCGTTTTATTTAAATATAAGTATTATTTTTCACACAACGCTAAAACTATTGAATAACCAGCGAAACAATTGTTCTTCTTTTATAAAAATAAATGGATATCCATTTATAGAAAAATGTGTACCTAAGCAAGTTGACAAATATATTTCGCGTTTTAAACCTTTAAAATGTTTTATTTAAATGTGTACTACTCGCGTGAACTAAAGACAATACTTAACATTTTATTTAGATTATGTAGAAAGCAGTGCGAGATCTATTAGATCATATAGAATATGCTTCGTTATTGTTTTGTGTTTATTTAGGACACACATACAAGCAATGCTAATTATTACATAGTTTTTTGTCAAGTAAGTACAATACCAAAAGACGTTACTTGTAATCCTTGAAAAAGGTTTTTTTACAGAATCACTAGAAAAATTACTTTTCACTTTGAACGTCTGTTTGTCACAAGTTACACATGCACTGTGTTACATGCAGTTATTGCGTCATGCTCAGCGAGCTGTGAAGAAAATGTTACAGTTTAAAATTTCATTGACCATTTCATTCATTATTCACTTAAGATTGTAAAAAAAATGAAACGGGCGGCACTCGAACTGCACTGTTACACTGTTACAGTATTCTATTGTTATATCAACTTGAACCACTGTGTCCCTATGTCATAATTCAATCTTCTTAATTCTTGTTCCTCCCCCTACTCCCCCCCTCGCCTTGCACGGCGTGAACGACCAGAAATGTCAGTTTTTTAAGGCAAGTGTTTGATTGCACTTCTGTGCCCTGCCCGGCCGAAACAATCTAAATTTTCTCCTGTGTTTCAAACTCAAAAATCTACTATTATGGAGTTAAAAATAAAAAAGCTCTAAATTGACTATGTTCCCAGTTTCCGATACCCAAGATTCGAACCCAGGACCTCTCGCACTTAACGCAATTCGTTTAACTATTTGAATTTTGGCGTTCATTGTTACTCCTAGGTACGATTTAAAATCATCCGGACGTTTTAAAAATGCCCTATTTAACGCATTGCGTCGCAACACAAGTAAAAGACAAAGAATTCAAGTGAAACGGGGTGAATGGCTGAAAATGAATTAGCTCCACTTGTACTCAGCTTGTGACGTCATCATCATCTCGATTTGAGGATGACGAAAGGTGCGTCGTCCTTTTTTGGGTTCCGTTGCAAAAGGGTGAAAACAGAAATCTAACAGAGGCTTCGCTGTCTGCTTTGAGCTTGTTAGATATATTAAAAAGATAAAACTGAAGAGTTTGTTTGAACGCGCTAATCTCAGGAACTGAGACTGGTTCTTATTGAAAAAATATTTTTGTGTTCCTTAGACCATTTATGAAGAATTGCGGAAAAATTAGGAACAATCATTCATGATAGAATGATGCCTCCTTAAATAATATAAAAATGTCCGCGACATATCTGTCTATCTTTTAAGAAGAGACGGCGAGTATCTTGCCAGTTCTTTCGTTCGTTCTTTGCCCGTTGATTGGAGAACTAGTAGTTAATGTAAATTAACTAGCAGTCCTATAGTATACATTTTTGATGCCACCACAAGTATTTCAAGTGGACAAAGTCGCATGCTCATCTAGTGTATCTACAAGTAAATAGCAAGATGACTATCATAAACGCAGGTCAATTTGATCCTTAAACACCTGTATTAATATCAAAATCACACGGTTGGGTGCGCACACGCGCCCCTAGACATTATCGCTAATTTGTTTCGCTCGTGGGAACCACCCTTAACCGGTCAAGCGTGAAACAGGTGACTTACTGTATCGAATAAAAATTATTAAATACTAGCTGTGCTCGCGACTTCGTCCGCGTGGAATAGTGATTTGGGGTAAAATTTTTGATTATTTAGGCTGCTTATTAATTTATGTAAGGGCGCGTGCCAATCTATGTTGTAAGTGCTCCTTTGCCGCAACACTCCCTCCACACATCACTCCTACTCTAAATCCCACTCTCATTCCTACACTCACTCCCACTCCAGTCCTATTCCCAAAAAGCTAAAGAAGAAAGTTTCATTGTTCTAACTTCAAAAACCACGAATTTCCATACAAACATTCATCCCCTTATTCAACCACTATCATCCCTTATTTGGCATTAAAAAGGAGCCTTTCTTAGGCTCTAAAATATCTATTTACCAAATTTCATTTAAATCAGTTCAGTAGTTTCGAAGTTAAAGCCGGACAGACAGACAGACAGAGTTACTTTCGCATTTATAATATTATTAAAATCCATAATTTATTTAAATAAAATTTATAAATGGTATGGATAACAAGGTTTGACTTTGATTTCTATCAATTTGTTAAAAGTAAAAAAGTGTTATATTGTCGTAACTACAATAGTTGATATTTGCTCTCGCGAGGTTTTTTGTAGATATTGAATACTATAATATTGTCGAACATTTTTTTGTCCTATCATTAATACTCCCCGCAGCGTATGCGATGAAAGACATTTTATGGCCAATTTTTTTACACCTCCCGTTGCTTTTAATAGAAATTTTAAAGACTGTACAAGTAAGTATTTTACTCAGTGATAATGTAGCTTTCTAAGGAAAATTATGAAAATCGTCCAGTACAGAGATGAAAAAAATTATCCGTTTTGTTCACATTGCTTGCTGTATCTTCGTCCTATTAGTCACATCGCAATGTGTTATAGCCTATAACCTTCCTCATAAGACCTAACCAACACAATTTTTCAATTCGAGCTCTTACTTCTGAGATTAGCGCCAACAAACTAACTCTTCAACTTTATACATTTAGTATAGATATAGATACTTCCGTGTTACATGCAACTATAAGTAACCTAAAACTAACTGTGTAACTAAAATTTGCTAATCTCTGGAACTACTGGTTCGAATTCAGAAATTGTTTTTGGGTGTGGTAAGTGCATTTATCGGGTAAGGCGTTACGCTATAAAACATCTGCGACCTGCGACTGCGAATTGGGGCAAAGAAACAGTGATTTCCTTGCGTGCGCTGCTAAAACCATTCAAACCGAAAAACCATACATATTTTCTTAAATCTAAAATCTATCTATAAAGAATATTCTTCTTTAAATGATCTAAACAATATCGCCGACATCTTATAAGATTAACTCGCAAGCACGACGCGACCGAGGGGACGCGAGAGGACGCGGACGACGTCGTAAGTAACAGCTAGTTCAGTAATAAATGCTAACTATGACGATGTTCTTGATGATTTCTGCCTACCCTGGCCGTGGGCAGACAAACATCTATGTCTGTTTCACTGATCAATTATTAACAGGTTAGTATCAAGTACTGTCAGTTTACGTATTGAGCCTCCAACTATGGAGATGATCAACCGTGAGGTGATATAACAAATTCTCTAAGCGCTAGAAACATACTTACAGTATGCTGTAAACTAGGTTAAAAAAAGCTGTGCAAAATATTACGCAAACCGTACCTGCAAAAATATACTCTTAAGTTGTTTAAAAACCGTTTTAACAGTAGATGAATACGACACGATATTGAGCGTTGGAAGACTTAAATTTTACTATACTAATTTATATAAAACAATAATTTATTCACATCCAAGAAATCATTTTATGAAGAATCATTATTTTAAATAAAACACTTCAAACGTTTAAAACGGGATATATATATTAGTTAAACTTATTTGAAAGATAACGCTAGCGTAACAGATTTTACTTTGACGTCAGAGACACCCTCCATCTTTGGGAGACTAAATGTGACTACGGCAGCTGCAGTTAAAATAATTGTCAAATAAGTTTAACTAGTATATATCGCGTTTTAAACCGTTAGTGTTTTATTTACTAAACGATTACTTCAGCGTTATGATATTAGTATAGAATAATCGAGAAGTTATGCTTTTTATTCTAGTTAGATAATTCCATCGTTACGTTTTTTCCTTAGAATGGAAACTTAAGTACGTATTAAGCATAATTACTTATAAATATGATAACTAAATAAATACTGTCTATAGTTTA